TCCTCGCGCTCTGATTGGTCCGTGTTTTTCCTTAATAATTCAAAAACGGAGCTTCGAATCTTTTTCTTGTAAAGGGAAGTTTTATTCAGAATTACGTCAGCTACCTTCTATTTCAAGGATTTACAGTTATGAGACACTTTATATATTCAGTAAGAAAAAAACTACCAAACCGGTCAAATGACCGCTCCACAAGTTTCTTATTATAGAGTACACATTTTGTTAAAATACATTCCTTCAAATCAACATTGATTTTCATTAAAATAAAGAATAAATGTGTGTGCTAATTTATGTTTCATTTGATTATTTATTTTTTGACTTCATTTTTAATTTCAAGTTAAGTGCACATTATATGCCGGTAGGTTTAGTATTAAATCTGTCAAGTATTAAATATTATACAAAAACGGAGTCATAAATATTTTCCCTCCACACGATTTTTCAAGAAAAATATATCTTTCGTAAATAGAGAGAGAGATGTATTAACCACATCCTCCATAATTGCAATTTTATTATTTATTTCACTGCGTCAATCACCGCGTTCGAGAAACGATTTAACCGAATTTGCAGGACGGGAAATTGTTCCGTCTATTGTGACGCGAGTTACGTAACACTCGTATATTCCAGTAAGCGTTGTCCTCGATGAACTGAACCTTCTCCGGTATCGACCCTCGACAGCTTTTACATGGTCAGCTTTGCTCACGAGGCTAGAATTCGAAAACACGCGCTGCCCTTGCCGCCGAAGAACGCGTTTTATCCGTGTCAGCTAAATATTTTTATGTCGTTCTACCAAAGAAATCAACGCGGCGTCGATTCTCGGAATTAACCAAGGAAAAACATCGTTCGCTGTTTACGCGAACAAATGGAAGAAGGTTCTTGAAAACCCGTTCATTAATCTAGCGACGACACCGATGCTAAACCGATACTATTCCGCAACTACGGTTCATTCAAAGCATCCGGGAAAAGATTCCTGTTTACTATGCACGCCGTGTCGCACATCTTATTGATCATTCTGAGGGATCAACGATTGCTATTTGCTTTCAATTTACTAATTTCGCAATTGATACTTACTTTCGTATATTACTGTGTTTTTAATTTCTTCAATTTGTAATTTTCTGATTTTCATTTTTGTATTTTGGGTGGTGTTGAAATTCTGGGTTCATTTCTGGATTAATTTCCAGTTTCTTATTTATTAATCTTTATTTCCTTTCAATTTATTAATTTTGCAATATATCCGCGGTTTCGTGATTTCGTATATCATTGCAGTGTCTCTAATTTCTCCAATTAGCAATTTTCTAATTTCCAGATTTCGATTTTTATATTTTGGGTGATGCTAAAATTCTGGGTTCATTTCTGGACTAATTCTCAATTTCTTATTTATTAATTTTTATTTCCTTTCAATTTATTAATTTTACAATATATCTACAGTTCCGTCCTTTCGTATATCAGTACTGTATCTCTAATTTCTCTAATTTGCAATTTTCTAATTTCCAGATTTTTATTTTTGTATTTTAGGTGGTGCTGAAATTCTGGGTTCATTTCTGGACTAATTCCCAGTTTCTGATTTATTAATTTTTATTTCCCTTCAATTTATTAATTTTACAATATATCCGCGGTTTCGTGCTTTCATATATCAATACTGTTTTTCTAGTTTCTCCAATTAGCAATTTTCTAATTTCCAGATTTTGATTTTTGTATTTTAGGTGATGCTAAAATTCTGGGTTCATTTCTGGACTAATTCCTAATTTCTTATTTATTAATTTTTATTTCCCTTCAATTTATTAATTTTACAATATATCCGCGGTTTCGTGCTTTCGTATATCAGTACTGTATCTCTAATTTCTCTAATTTGCAATTTTCTAATTTTCAGATTTCGATTTTTATATTTTAGGTGATGCTAAAATTCTGGGTTCATCTCTCGACTAATTCCCAGTTTCTTATTTATTCATCTCTATTTCCTTTCAATTTATTAATTTTGCAATATATCTACAGTTCCGTCCTTTCATATATCAGTACTGTATCTCTAATTTCTCCAATTAGCAATTTTCTAATTTCCAGATTTTGATATTCACATTTTAGGCGCTGTTGAAATTCCAGTTTCGTTTCCCGACTAATTCCTAATTTCCTATTTGTTCATCTCTATTTGCTTTCAATTTATTAATTTCGCAATATATCCGCACGTTCATGCTTTCATATATAAGTACCGTATTTCTAATTTCTCTAATTAGTAATTTTCTAATTTTCAAATTTTGTTACTCATAATTTAGATAACGTTGAAATTGCAGTTTCATTTCCCTACAAATTCCCAATTTCCCGATTCTCAATTACCCGTCTTCCATTTCCTAATTTACGTTTGCTGAAACATAACATATCGATTCGTAGGTCAAGGTAAAACCACACGCTATCGTTCACACGCTTTACCTATCCTACGAAGTTACGAAATCGTAACGTGTAATAGTTCCATGCATAAAAGCTACAAACACGTAATTTCCAACGACTGACCAATTATAAATCTCGTATAAATTAAAGAGCCTCTCAAAGTGTTTGACTAGGTTTGAAGGACACTTAATCTTCTCCAGGCAAGCTTATACTCTTCCCAAAATTGCGAAGTGTGGATACGTTCCTCAAAAAAACCTTCGGGAAAGCCTTATGTTAAAGACTTTTTATTAAAACCTTTTGCTAAAGACTTTTTATCAAAGCCTTATGCTAAAAACTTTTTATTAAAGCCTCATGCTAAAGACTTTTGTTAAAGACTTTTCATTAAAGCTTTATGCTAAAGACTTTTGTTAAAGACATTTATTAAAGCCTTATGTTAAAGACTTTTGTTAAAAAAAACTTGTTGTTAAAGCTTTATGTTAAAGACTTTTGTTAAAGACTTTTTATTAAAGCTTTATGTTAAAGACTTTTTATCAAAGCCTTATGTTAAAGACTTTTGTTAAAAAAAAACTTTTTATTAAAGCTTTATGTTAAAGACTTTTTATTAAAGCCTTATGTTAAAGACTTTTGTTAAAAAAAAACTTTTTATTAAAGCTTTATGTTAAAGACTTTTGTTAAATACTTTTTACTAAAGCTTTATGTTAAAGACTTTTGTTAAAGACTTTTTATTAAAGCCTTATATTAAAGATTTTTGTTAAAAAAAACTTTTTATTAAAGGTTTATGTTAAAGACTTTTCTTAAATATTTTTTACTAAAGCTTTATGTTAAAGATTTTTGTGAAAGACTTTTTATTAAAGCCTTATATTAAAGACTTTTGTTAAAAAAAACTTTTTACTACAGCTTTATGTTAAAGACTTTTGTTAAATACTTTTTACTAAAGCTTTATGTTAAAGACTTTTGTTAAAGACTTTTTATTAAAGCTTTATGTTAAAGACTTTTTATCAAAGCCTTATGTTAAAGACTTTTGTTAAA